CAAACTTGATCATGGTCATAGTAAAGAAACCTACAGAATACATAGGTTAAGCAGCAGTATCTTTTGAGGAAATCAGTCAGAATTAGCAATCTTTATCATAATAAAGGGGATATACAAGCTGACTGGATTGAAAGATGGTCTGACAAGTTCAAATTCCTGCTGTGGTTTGATGTAAGACAGCATCAGTTCTTTCTTGAGAACTTTTTGTCGGCAGGAAAATAATTGTCATGAAATCTTTTCAAGTGGGGAGCAATGCTGTTTGATGTTACATCATAACAGGAAGATAAAAAAGCCCATTTATATGAGGAAAATAAGCCATGGCTTACACAAGCTGCAGCTTACATAAGTCATGCACTTACCGTATGAACAGTACCAGTTCACATCTATCGTAAGCCACGGCTTGTGTAAGACAAGGGTTTTAAGCTCTTCATGGCTTATATAAGATGGGAAACACTCTATAAATGGTATCACCCCTTGTTTGTAGCTTAATTAAGATGCAACCTCACACTAAGCAAGCCCAAGTTTTTCCCACTTGCATGACAGCTGGCATAATTCTGTGATTGCTATGACAAGCAGCACAAAAGCAAGGCATTAGTCACGAATAAGCCGGAAACCATTTATAGGAGCACTTCACATCTTATATAAGCCCCGCTAGTATAAATGGTCCAGTTCACATCTTACGTAAGCCGCAGCTTGTGGAAGCCGTGGTTTATTTTTTTGGTATAAATGGCCAGTTATCCAACCATCTTTATCCGTTCTATTTGTGATTGGTGTGCCAGTGTCAGCTCAAGTATGTATTTGTTGTCTTTACTTGTAGTTTGTATACGTTGGCTGAAATGTTTGATTTCCCTCCGTCTGTGGTGCACAGCACTATCAGCAAAATGATCATCAACGAAGAACTGCAGGTTTGTGATATTGTTTCTTTTTCAATTATTATTATTATTATTATTATTACTATTATTATTATCATATGGCTTGTTCTTCTATCTGATATAACAGGCACTCTGATTGGCTAATCGTAGGACATTATTTTCCTGTAATACCCACAAGAAGTACCTTGACCTTACCATATAGACCTCGCTATTGCTTGGTCAATACTGCAAGGTCTCGGTCTGAGATTTTTCCATAAAGACCTCACTCTCAGATAGTAAATAGTTATTATTATTATTTTCACAGTCAAGCAGTTTAAGTAATTTGTATTAAAAATTAATCTTTACATCTGCGTAGAGAAAGCCACACATGTAAGGCTCACCACTTGGGATTAGGGTCT